ATTAGAATTAAATTAGAAAACTGGGTACCTTTAAAAACTAGCAATGAGTTGATAATGCCAGGTCTAGGTAATGACGAACTATTGGATATTCGCAACTATCAAGCTAAAGCTGCTAATCCAGAATCTGAAGTCCTATTGGAGGATGCCGATGAAAACTATACATTTATTCCAAATCAAGAAACAATCAATCAACTTTCTGAGATGGGGTTCACAGAGAATGCTATAACAAGGGCATTGTATTATAGTGGTAATGGTAATACAGAAGCTACTATGAACTGGTTACTTCAACACATGGATGATACAAATCTTAATGATCCATTTGAAGTTCCTCAAAAAGCCACATCAAAGACAGAAGTGGATGAAGAATCGTTGAGCAACATGGTCGCAATGGGGTTAGATATGAAACTTTCAAAGAAAGCCTTAATTTTAAATAAAGGTGATTTAAATAGGAGTGTGGAATGGGTCTTTAACAATATGGATGATGATGGTGAACTTCCACAAGCAGATAGTCCAAGCAATACTGAAAATAAAACATGTGGTTATAATGAGCCAGGAAAGTATAAGTTAACTTCAGTAGTGTGTCACAAAGGTAATTCAGTTCAGTCTGGACACTACGTTGCTTTTATTAAGAAGGAGATAGAAAATGTAGAACGCTGGGTATTGTACAATGACGAAAAGATAGTCATCGCGGAAGATCTGGAAGAATTGAGCAAAAATGGATATATATATATTTATTCAAGAGTTATTTAATAAACCATATGTATATAAATAAGTATCATTAGATTAGCAAATACAATAACAAATGTAGCCTATTAAGTTCGTCATTGTCCTTCTTTTAAATATACATGGAATATCATTAAAACATCGCGAACAAATCCCAGAGAATCTTAGCTTCGGCTGATATAAAGCTTATATAACAAATATAAATGTGAAACAAACCTTAAAAAGATTAAGGTCATCAAGGTTATATAAAAACAATATTGTTGTAGAATATTTTTGGGATATTTAAGTAATCGATGGAAATGGATAATAATAATATTAATATTAATAATAACAAATTTATCGGTTTAGAGTACGCTGTTCCAAAGAAAGTTTATAATTTGAAGGCCATGCAACAGGATCAACTAGGTAGAAGTTTTAATCAGAACGTCACACAGGCATCTCATCCAAATTCTCACAAGATTGCTTATGGTGTGGTTAATATGCAAAATCCCTTCGATTATCAGAAAGATATACCTGTAAGTAATGGGATATGGCAAGATTCGAATCTTCCAATGAGAGGATACACGCTTTCTAGATCTAATTTGCCTGTAAAGGTTTCTGAAACTTATGGGGGTAGTAATCAAATTTTAAATATAAATGCTGGAAATAATATGAATAGTACACCTATTAAATATTCTGAATTCCCTCCAATAGGGAATCTTATGCTTTCTATGGATACTAAAAAAGATCTTACCTCAGATGAAAATCCTTCCAAGTTATTTATGGAGGAAGATCTAAGAATAAAAGAGGAACAATTAAATTCATTGACTAAGGAATTGAAAAACCAAAAAGACTTATTTAATAAGTCTTTAGATTACAATCAACTGGGTTTTAAGCATGATAAAATTAATCAAAAAGATTTGGCTCAAGAAATTGCACCTGATTCTGTTGAAAGTTTATTTAAGACGCTATCATCAGAATTGCAGTCTAAAGAGGAAGCCTTAAGTGATCTTCGAGATAAATTTGAATGTGTATTAACAGCTTTGGCATTAGATACTGAAAATCCTATAACAAAATATGGAAATAATGATACCGAATCAATAGCTCGTAGAATAGTCTTGCGTATTGAGAACCTTTCAAAGGAAAATCAAGAAATGGCTAAATTGCTCTCTTTTAATAGTTCTAAACAGACACAAATTGAGTTGGAGCTTGTTAGAAAAGAAAACGTTGAGTTAAAAGAACGATTACGTAAACTTCACGAAACTCGATCATAATTTTAAATCCTTTCAAGAACTATTCAAATCACTATACCCTTAAATAATTGCTGAATTAAAAATCAAGACATTGACATCAGAATTAAATGATCTCTAGATTCAATAAATAATATATATATATATATATTGATACCTAAATGACTATTGATGTGAGATATAAAGAAAGGAGAGTTATATACAATATTTAATGTATATATTATTCTACTTTCCATTTAATATGAGCGAACCTGAATTATTTCTTTAAGACTACTCTTCTATTTCTAACACCTTCAGCTAATAATTCCAATACATTTTCAGTAGTTTCCCAACCAATACAGGCGTCAGTAATAGAGCAACCATAAATCAGTTTATCACGGCCACCTTCTGGAGGGACATCTTGCCTACCTTCAATTAGGTTTGACTCTATCATTACACCACACAACCCATTTTCACCAGCAGATAACTGATCATAAATTGATTGCGCTACCTTTGGTTGATTTCTGAAATCTTTGCTGCTGTTGCCATGAGAACAGTCAATCATAATTCTTCTTTTATTATCGTTTTCATCAATCAAGTTGGCCTTTAGCAAGAATTCTTTTGTCTTTTTAACACTTTCAGCATCGTAGTTAGTACCAGTCTTACCACCTCTTAAAATGACAAAAGTATCTTGGTTACCTTCAGTACCAACGATAGCTGTAACACCAGGCTTTGTAACAGATAAGAAATAATGTTCATGGGCAGCAGCTCTCATGGCATCAATTGAAACCTGTAAGCCACCGTCAGTACCATTTTTAAACCCGATTGGAAAAGATAAACCTGAGGCTAATTCTCTATGTAATTGAGATTCAGTAGTTCTGGCACCAATTGCACCTAATGAAAAACAATCACTTAGAAATTGTGGAGAAATAGTATCCAACATTTCACCAGCAATTGGTAATTTTTCTACTAAATTAGTGAACATTTCCCTTGAAATTCTTAAACCTTTATTAATTTGGAAAGAATTATCAATATCTGGATCATTGATTAGACCTTTCCAACCTACAGTAGTTCTTGGTTTTTCCAAATAAGCTCTCATAATAATTAATAAGTCGTTGGATAATTTTGATGCAATCTTGGCTAATCTTTCAGAATATTCATAAGCTGCTTTTGGATCATGAATTGAGCAAGGACCAATTACTATGACTAATCGATCATCTTCACCATTTAAAATCTGATGAACAGATTCTCTAGCATCGACGATATTTTTTTTACCAGTTTCAGAGATAGGATACTCATGCTGAAGAAGGTCTGGAGAGGTCAATGGATCATAACCTTTAATTCTCCAATCTTCCAACCGGCTTCTGTCACCAACATGGTCATTTTTAATGAACATTTTTATATCTTTATAAATATATTAGTTGCAGTGAAAATATCTATCAATATGAAGAAATTTCAAAATTTATAATTGCTTGTCTATATTATTAAAGATGCAATTTCTGAGTATAGCAAAAATAAAGGTACTTCTACGTTTCTTGCTGCTGCAGGTTCTTATGCTTTAGGGAAGCTAGAGATCAAGACTCTTGTAAAATTTAGTATTCTATTTTATTATATCTTTATACTTGGATATGTAATGAACAATTACAACAATAATGGGTAATTAACCTTAGAGTCCAAATATATATATATATATATATATTATAATCTCATCTATCTATTCCTTCAAGTTAAAATTACTCTGAAAAAAATGTGTTAACTGCAAAATTAATGTGTTAACTGCAAAATTAATGTATTACTCATTTTAAATCATCCCAACTCCTTCAACGTTTTGTTAGAAGCGTTTATTTCCAAACACTTGTTCATCAATCTTCTTGGTGTGTGCATTATTACTATTATTATTGCCTTGCTTTGCTTTTGATTTTACTCTGCTTCTGGTTGGAATGTCGAGCTCTTTTTTTTTTCTGATATCGAACGAAGCGGAATTATATGTTCGAAAAATGACTAATAAGGAGAATTTCGAGTCGAGGGTAGCCATGTATTAAAACACATCAACTTTGTCTAGCCAACTGTTCTGATTTTTTTTTTGGTTATGATGATGATGGTGATGAAGTTTTGATTCTCCATTGATAGATATATCTATGTCTTGTTGCTATCGGTTATATTTATATTGGACAACATATTTCTAATAGACAGATGCAACATAGTATTTTTGCAATTGCTTCACAACAACAACAAGCACCTCCACAGCATCCGCGGTCGTGATGATGTGGTGGTGGTGCCTGTTGGATGTATATAGGTTGTGGAGCAGGTTGGTAGTACATTGCTTGTGGTTGATAGGTATTATAATGATTATGGTGGCGAGGCATTGATTGATTGGATTTAGTTATGTTCTTGATCTTGACTTGGAATTGTGAGTGGGATTGGGAACTCTAGTTGGTTTCAAGACTGCTTCATTATGGCACTCATATCTATATCTATCTATAGCTATATATATACATATATGTATATGTGTGTATGTATCTGTTTATATTACCTGGTAAAATTAAAAATTGTATGTCAAAAATAGAAATTAATCACTGCAACTACTGTTAAGGTATATAAAAATATTTCTTGAAAATACAGATAGAAGCTATCGTTGTGGGAAAAAACAAACATAGACTAATAGCGAAAACTTATTCATTGACACCTTGTTTATCTCTTATCTATCGGTGGTTAAGCCTCTATCTAAAGTGGCTAAATCCTATATATCTTCAAAAAGTGAGGCTGTGACTCTAATGGTCTAACATTAGTAGTGCGGTTTTTCTAGATTCAAACTAGCTATGTATTTTAACGCCAAGTTTCTCAATGGAATACAGGGCAAAACTTCCGTGTTTTTCTAAGAAACTTAACTTAAAAAAATAATGGAAGGTAATATGATCTTATATGGGGATCACCAACCAATTCTCTCGGATCATTTTACCATAATACAGAAAAAACGACACTTCTGTATAAATGGGCTGGTTGAGTTTCTTCTTAAGAAACAAAAAGTCAGGTCCTACCCGGATTCGAACCGGGGTTGTCCGGATCAAAACCGAAAGTGATGACCACTACACTATAGGACCAATATATTTTAAAATTTGTTATTGTATAATATGTGCTTACTTGTTATTAATATGAATAACTCTGATTAAAATACAACACTAAATATATTGATATATATTTCTTACTTGACTTTCCTTACTAAATGGAAAACTCTTCCTAATATACATATCTACTCTATTCTTTTATATATTTCCTAATCTCCTTCATGAGTTGGTTGCAGCCAACTCATATTGTGACATCTCACATTCTGACTGGTGTCAATCTTATTAACTGCTGACATTGGTCATGTGACGTTTCTTATAAAGCCATATTATCATGTCTCACGAGTGTCTGTCCGAAGTGAAAATTCTTCAAGGCATCTTGAAGTATAAAAGAACCTTATGTAACGTCATATATTAAGTAACTATGTATCAGAATAAAGAAATGATCCAGTTATCTAGTAAACCAGTGACAATGACAGTTGAGACCAATCCTACAAACCAGTATTAACCCTGATCGTAAGCTGTTGTAACCTAAAATGTATGGTTCACACTAATGGGTTTCAAGGTTATGGCAATAAAGGTTATGGCAGTAAAGGTTATGACAGTAAAGGTTATGACACGTTGCAATTGTTCGATCGCAAATGTCATACTCGACCTTCTAAGTAATTGCCAAATCATATCATAAGAAGTGGAGTGCAAAGGCATCACTATTTTTATTATAATTAATTAATAATTCTGAGATTATGAGATTGGATCTAAACCTATAAAAAGGCATGACATTTTGGTACATCTAAAATATTGTTTATCTAAAATATTAATATATATTTATTTAGTTACATTTATAAGACACTACGGAGAAATAAATATAAATATTATATTAAAAACATCTTGTATCAATCACCAAAATGAATCAATCAGATATTACTTTTACATCTGAACATAAGCAACGTCCTACGAACCTTAACAAACTATTAGAATGCCTTCACTAAATAATACAACATTTGTTGTATTATTTAATAAGGACATTCTGATAGTATGTTATGGTTCTGTATTGATTTCGGATTATAACATAATACGAAGAAGTGGAGTAATCAATAAACAAAGGATTTGCGACACTGTCACAAACAAGAACGTATATAAAGAACTAGATAATTATCATAGCTACATGAATAAGTTCCCAAACTAAAAGGGACAGACTTAATTATTATTACAATATACAACTTAATATATTAATCAGTATATCTACCTTTAGCTTATACTAATATATTAGAATATAGTACACATATTACTTCTTTAACTAATATAATACTTATTCACTATTATATAATAACCGGTCAAAACAATACAGTTCTGTTGTGTATTGATTCCACGTTAGTACAAGATGACAGGAATAAGGAAAGAGGATCTGTCATGATTGTTAAAAGGAATGACGCTAATAGACAACTGACATGACGTATATAAAGGGCATAGCTCCTGAAGTAAAGATATACACTTTTGTTATTAGACAGAAGACCATAGAGATCTTTATATATTTAATACTACTGTATAGTTATTATAATAGTTAATTAACCTCATAGAGCTTATAACTAGTAACCTTAAGTATTGACTTCTACGGCTTGTTTCCCTAGATAAATACTTAATACATTGATATTCAATATTCCGGATCAAACAATACAGTTGTATTGATTTTGTATTCTTTGGCCTGTAATTATTATTTTGTAGAGAATCAGAGGGTTGTGTATTCTTTACAGAATCGTTCATAGTAATAGATTCTTTATTTATTTCCAAGGACATTCTTAATAAGTTGATATTGATCCGGTGTATTAAAGTATAAAATATACACATGGGAATATAATTAACATGACAAGTGTCAATTAAGATCTTGTCATTTCTTATATAAAGTGTTGGAAAAGTTTTAACGTCAGAAATAACACGTTCGTGTAAAGTAACATTTCTTTATCCTATATGAATAATGTCGTAATACTGTATTCTTTGTTGTGAATTCTTTAGTTGTAGATATCTAATAATTGTACGTCGAATAAATGCTGTTATGGTAATTATTCTATTCGTCTATTTGGTGGTAGATTAGTACTGTAAATAAGTATATTTATTAATTAAAGAGTTCTATCTCCCTTCTTCTAATGTACAAAGTAAGTAAATAATATACAATACTATACAACTGTTTCAAATAGTAATTACTATTATTCTTTATAAGTATGAACGATAATAACACTTATTATCTGGTGTCATAGATCTTACAATCCATTCGTATTAAACTATGTTGAAACAATACAATACGTTTAGATCACGTGTTACCTCATAATTCTGACAAATATAGAACTTTATTATTATTATTAACAAGTATATTTACTTTAACTTACAGATCTCCACCCTTAAGATCCTATAGAATAAACGCCTACCAGCCTTCATTCTAACGTATACCAAATTCAATATACAACTAAATAATAATAAAGGCCAAATAATACATCGAATACCCATCACGTGTTCCAATAACATACTGTTACCCTCACTCGTATTTTCATTTTTTACAGTTAAGATGATTAGAGTAAAATACGCGAATCTTGATAGTCATAGAAATAATTTAAATTTAATGAATGGAATGATTTAAGTACATCTAATTTTATATATAACAAGAGTGTGTAATAAAGGATAAAGGTTTTACGTATTTCAAGAAGTCAGTGAATAAAGGCTAGATTATTGCTTCTGATCCTTTGAAGGTTTTAGAAGTGTTATCTGGTATTGTATTGTATTGTATTGATATATATATATATAGTTATTTGAAGTAGAAGAAATTATAGGTAGGTCTATTCTGCTACTCTGCTATTGTATTTTGGGGTTCTATATTCTTTTACTATCTTAGATATAGTATAAAGTGAAATTAATAGATTTGCTAGTGGATATATTGGATATATAGGACATATTTATTAACATTATTGCATTTCTAATATCCATCTTTTTTTGTTTTGGAAGAGAGGCAAGAGAGATAAAAAAAATTATTTGATCTATTAGGATTAGTTTTAACCCAAGCAACGAGTGATAATAGGTAATCTTTTTTTGGAAAACATTTGAAGTTTATATCATTTATTCGGCAAATTAAGTTTGGAATTGGCTAATCTTCCTTTTTAAATACATCTAATTTAACTCACATTCAGTTACTTCAAGAAGTAGGAATTAATTGAAATTTTTGCTTTATCATTCTCATTGAAAAACTGGTATTTAGAAGGGATTTTAAAAAGGAAATCTAAAGAAAAAGCTCTAATAAATCATTAAATCTGAGTCAGTTTGCTCATTATCGTGTTGTTAAATTTTAAACATTCATTTTTTTTTTAATCTTTCAAAGATACCCTTTTTTTTCTTGAAAAGGAAAAAAACATAAAAAAAGAAGATTCATACACAATTAACAGTCAATACTCTTTTCTATATCATTGAACTTTCAACATTTATCAATCCACTTTTAATAGTAATCATATATCCCTAATATATTAATTGAAATCAATGATAACTATACAATGGCTCCACATAATTGTGATAGAGAGTTGATTGATTTAATACATAATTTTTTCCTACGATCGACTTTATTAATATGTTCGTCAAAATTAAACAAAAATCAACATTTATTGGAAGAAATACAAAAATTTGATTCAGACTTAAATGAAAAACCTGATTTACCTAAAACTATTAATGAATGGTTCCATGATGAAAATGAAAGGAATCTCCCACCATTGGTAATTGAGACTTTGCTAGATTTAAAGAAGTTATCGCCTAATCATTTTGTTACATTAAGAGATGATGACGGGAATGTTTGGAATGTTTGTAAAGGCACAAAAAAGTCAGAAATTGTACTGGAAAGATGGCTAATAGAATTGGATAATACATCCGCAGCATTTCAATCATATAGAGGAACGATTGACTCTACTGGTGAAATTAGAAAACAAATTGTGCTACTCGCCCGTTATTTAGTAACGTTGATTCAAATTCTGCCTAGTAATGAGTTGGAAGAAAATTTGACCAAAAATAGCACTAATTTAATATTGTCATTAAAACGTAAGGTAATCGATGGTTCAAAACCAATATTATCAAAGGGTAGAATAGGTTTAAGCAAACCTATTATTAGTACATACTCAAATGTCATTAATGAAAGAAATATACCACCTCATCTTGAACAGAGGAAAATCACACCTGTATATACGCCATTAGGGCTATTGAGAATATCAGTTTCTTTCCGCCATGATTGTCGATTTGAAGTTAATCAATCTACAGATTCGTCTGATAATGTAGCTTCAAATACTACAAATATCCATCAACATTTAGAACCATTGCATAACAAAAATTATACAAACACGTCTCTTTCTATTTCTCCCCATTCGCATATTGCACTGGCATCATCATCTGAAAGAAATTCAATAGGTAAGAAAGACTTGAATTCAAAGCCAATTCACCCCTTCAAGACCGGTTCTGTAGGAAGCTGCACCATCAATCAAAGTCAAGCTATGATCAGGACAACATCAAATCCATCTGTAATAGCAACATTAAGAGCACAGAGATCAAGAAATGATTCCATATCCTGTCAAAGTCAATTGGAAGATATTCAGCTTGAAAGCACAAGTGTTGGTAGTGGATCAAAATACTCTTCTTCATTTGGTAGGATTCGCCGGCACTCAAGTGTCAAGTCCTCAGAAAATGTTGAGAAGCCTATAAGGTTGGTTAAACAGTCCAATGCTCCTACAGATGATTTGTTGGACTTTGTTAAAATGATGGATGAGAAACAGGAGCTAAGAATAACGAAATGTAATATCAGCAGCAATAACGCTGATATTTCGAACTCCATCTTACGTTTTCAAAAGTTAAAGTCATCTAACGAAATATTAAGTGAGGATCTTTCAATGAGTGTTTCATTAGAAGGTGTGAATGCAAGCATGCACAGGCGTTCGTCGGTTTCACACTCTCCAATACCGTCCGTATCGCCCCCTGTTCAGTATCCATCCATTCCCTCAAGGTTGTCGAAAACTAATCTACAAGAGCAAGATACCTTTAAGACTGCAGTAGTGAGCAGAAGAAATTCAGTTGAAAAATCAAAAATTAATATTTCACAACCCAAAACAACAGGAAGAATTGAAAATGAACTAGTTGACAAGCCTCTTTTTAATGAGGAACATGAATCAAAGGGGGAAGAATTACTGGCTTCTGGAATTATTGGGCCAAGTTTTAAGCGCTCGACATCCCCTCATTCGATTGAAAGTGTTTCAAGTTTAATTTCGAAAACTAAAATTGCATTTCAGCAACCCTCCTATTACTCTCATCCTACAACAGCAGCAGTTCCTGCGTATGCAAAGCTTCACAGGCCTTCAGTTCTTTCGACTGATGTTTTGTCAGAAGATCAAAATAAAAAGGTGGTGCAAGATTTAAATAATAATAAGGATGAAGATGATGAGCTACTATTTTTTATGAGTGATATGAATTTATCAAAAATTTGAATGTTATGACAACTCATCTTTAATCTACGAAGTGTCCAATCTTTATGTAGTATAATGTCGTATTATGATTATAAAGTTTATCTCCTATTTCTAACTTTAGTATTTGGATTTTATTATAATATTCAATAATATGTAATATTAATAATTACAATAAAGGTTAATTAAGAAGAAGGTATATCTTTTTTAGTGAAATCATATAATATATTTTTTAAATCACCTTTATTCTAAAAAATATTTAATTATTAAGAAGGGTTAATTAAAATTACTATTAAAAAAAAGTTAAGAGTTAATACTATGTACATGATAACTCTACATCTCTTTTTCAATTTTCGGATATTAGTTAATTTTCCAGATATTTGCTTCTCTTCTTAATCCTTATGTTTGAAATTGATACATATAAATAAAAGTTTTAACAATTCTTATTTTACACTTGAAGTTGTTGTTGTGACATAAAATAATTTGCTTAAAAATCAAGGTCGCTACTATTTCTGAACAGCGATGTCATCTTGACCAGAATCCATATAAATTGACTATATATGGGATAAAACTGATAGTTGAGTATTCAGGATGAGAAATAGTTTTCAATGTAAGCTAATTCTTGATATACATAGTCTAGGTATGTGAACGTTTAGTTTTTACGTAAATGGCAAGAGATTATCTTTTATTTGACAAATATATCATTATATTTAGTATACCCAAATTAAATATAAGACATAGTAGATTTGATATTAATGCTTCAAACATTTCTTTAAGTTTGCGACTGTTTTTTATTTTATTTGGCATACTTTAGTTTTCAAAATCAATCTCTCACAATAAATAGGTCATCGCTAATCATGAATTTTATTATTTATTTACTTACCTAATTGTATAATTGCTGTTACCTAAAAATAAAGTAGCCTGGAATAAATAAAGTGTATAATTTTGTTGCCTTTGGTTTGATAATTGAAGCATTGAAAATTACTTGAAAAGAAATAATGTTTTTATTTAATTTCTTGGGAAAGAAAGTTTGTCAACTTTGGTAATTTAAAAATCTCAAAATACCTTGATTCTAATCAAAATATAAAATTTTGATAAATAAGTTTTGAATTACGTGAACATTCGAGGAAGCCAAATCTGCTTTGCTATTCACTCATCTTAATATGGGTACATGTATTGTTTAACCTGTTACATAGCATATGCGTTATTATTAATTGTGGCGGCTCGCCAATTACTAATGGTCTAGATGACATGAGAATATTTGTCAAAATATTTGGCATATAAATAGAAGCTGAATGCCCATTTTTGGTATTTAGCATAATTGTATAATTTGTATATATTATGTTATAGTTTGAAGTGTAAAAGGGGTAAAAATTTTACATATCAACATGTTGTAACCTAAAATATATGAATTCCATATATAGGTTTACAGATTACTTAAATCACCTGATAAATGATACTTGTATTATTTGGCCTGTAATTAGTAGTTTTTAAATATTATTTAGTTGTGTGTTTAATTTGTTATACGTTAGAATGAAGGCTGTTGGGCGTTTATGTTGTAACCTAAAATGTATGAATTCCATATATAGGTTTACAGATTATTCATATCACGTGATAAATGACATTTGTTGCCCTAATGACATTAATGCAAATATTAACAATATGACCTAAGAGATAGATTATAGATCTGAATGGTTCTAGAACATTCTTATGAGCTGAAAGATTATATTTATAACCCTAATCATTTTAATGAACAATGATTACTAATGATATGAAGAAATAGTCTGTCAATATTATTGACAGCAATTATTATGATAGATTCCAATAGCTCGATAATGATGATCTACTTGATCATCTGAGCAATTGATGATCATGTCATAGGAAGTGGAGTGCAAAGGCATCACTATTTTTATTATAATTAATTAATAATTCTGAGATTATGAGATTGGATCTAAACCTATAAAAAGGCATGACATTTTGGTACATCTAAAATATTGTTTATCTAAAATATTAATATATATTTATTTAGTTACATTTATAAGACACTACGGAGAAATAAATATAAATATTATATTAAAAACATCTTGTATCAATCACCAAAATGAATCAATCAGATATTACTTTTACATCTGAACAAATATCAACTTATTAAGAATGTCCTTGTGATTAATAGAAGTATTTTGTGGATTGAATGGGGTTGTTGTGTGAGTCCTTGAGATGTCTACTGTCTGTACACTTAGTCCTGTTTTTTGCTGCTATATTTGATTTATGCATCCTGATCTTATATACTGTACGCGTTTTTGTTCCTTGTTTTTCGTTTTAGCTTCAATACTTTGAGTTTGATGTACGTTGTATTGTTCGCTCGTCTGTATAATCCCTCCCTTTTCTAACTGGCGTGTTTTTTTGTGTTCAGATTTTACAGGTGGTTTTACTTGATTTGTTGATTCGTTCGTGTTAAATTGGGAGTGTAATTCGTTTAGGTGCTATCATGATATATTATGTTCGGCGTCAAAGTGTATGTGGTCTGTCTTTATGGTGACGTAACTGGGATAGTAGATGATGGAATTTGTAGTGCCTATACCGGGCCATGTTGGTTGTTGTCTCCTTATTAGGTTTTGTGTTCTTTGCTCTGTCTTTACCCTGTCAGTTTCGCGCTTTTGGATGGTATCGGACGTTCTTAATGACTCAGTGGAAGAGGATTGTTCGTGTGCCTGGTTGTAACGTAGTTCTGTTTACTTTTGATTTATTAGCTGTTCTTTTTCATGGTAATGTTGGGCTTGCTGTTATGATTTTCTTATTATATTTTGTGCGAATACATTGAGCGTTGCTCTT